TTCCTACAGAGGCCAAACACTATCGCGTACGGTTAGAGGAATGATGTACTACTATCGGGCCCTCAAGATGTTGACATTTCTGGATTCTGCATCAGAAATGGACATTCGAGATGGCTCACGCGAACTTGTTTCAGTGAGGCAAGATAATTTGGACAGTTTCAACTCTGAAAGGTCACCTTACTCTAAGAGTTTAAGTAGAGCAAGCAGTTCAGTGAGCTCGTTATTCAAAGGCCACGAGTATGGGACTGCTATAATGAAATTCACTTATGTGGTTGCTTGCCAGATATATGGAACTCAGAAAGCAAAAAAGGACCCTCATGCTGAAGAAATTCTGTATCTAATGAAAAACAATGAGGCCCTTCGAGTTGCATATGTTGATGAAAAAACTACCGGACGGGACGAGATGGACTATTTCTCCGTTCTTGTGAAGTATGATCAACAGTTGGAGAAGGAGGTGGAAATTTACAGAGTGAAATTGCCAGGTCCATTGAAGCTCGGGGAAGGAAAACCCGAAAATCAAAACCATGCAATCATCTTCACCCGCGGAGATGCCGTGCAGACTATTGACATGAATCAGGACAACTATTTTGAGGAGGCACTTAAAATGAGGAATCTCCTGGAAGAGTACAGGCATTACTATGGCATCAGGAAACCAACAATTTTGGGAGTCAGGGAGCACATTTTTACTGGCTCTGTGTCCTCTCTTGCCTGGTTCATGTCAGCTCAGGAGACAAGTTTTGTCACCTTAGGGCAGAGGGTTTTGGCAAATCCTTTGAAAGTTAGAATGCATTACGGCCATCCAGATGTGTTTGACAGGTTTTGGTTCTTAACTCGAGGTGGTATCAGTAAAGCTTCCAGAGTGATCAACATCAGCGAGGACATTTTTGCTGGGTTCAATTGTACTCTTCGTGGAGGTAATGTCACTCACCATGAATACATTCAGGTTGGAAAGGGAAGGGATGTTGGTCTGAATCAAGTATCAATGTTTGAAGCCAAGGTTGCCAGTGGAAATGGCGAGCAGATTCTCAGTAGAGATGTGTACAGATTGGGTCACAGGCTGGATTTTTTCCGGATGCTGTCATTCTTTTACACTACCGTGGGGTTCTTCTTCAACACAATGATGGTGGTTCTGACAGTATATGCTTTTTTATGGGGTCGACTATATCTTGCCCTCAGTGGTATTGAGAAATCAATGGAAAGTAACAGCAATAACAACAAAGCACTCGGTACCATCTTAAATCAGCAGTTCATCATCCAACTTGGAATTTTCACCGCCCTTCCAATGATTATAGAGAATTCCCTTGAGCATGGGTTCCTTCAAGCTATCTGGGACTTCCTGACAATGCAGCTCCAGCTTTCATCAGTTTTCTACACCTTCTCTATGGGCACTCGCAGTCATTTTTTTGGCCGGACTATTCTACATGGTGGAGCAAAATATCGAGCCACTGGCCGCGGTTTTGTTGTAGAGCACAAGTGTTTTGCTGAAATTTATAGACTCTTTTCCCGTAGCCATTTTGTGAAAGCAATTGAATTAGGGCTAATACTTGTAATTTATGCAACACACAGCCCTGTAGCATCTGACACATTTGTATATATAGCCCTGACCATTACTAGTTGGTTCTTAGTTGCATCATGGGTGCTGGCACCGTTTATGTTCAATCCTTCTGGCTTTGATTGGTTAAAAACTGTTTATGACTTTGATGACTTTATGAACTGGATTTGGTACAATGGAAGTGTGTTTGCTAAAGCTGAACAGAGCTGGGAAAGGTGGTGGTACGAAGAGCATGATCATCTAAAGGTTACCGGCATTTGGGGAAAGTTTTCTGAAATAATCTTAGACTTACGGTTCTTCTTTTTCCAGTATGGAATTGTCTACCAGCTTGGCATTTCTGCTGGTAATCACAGTGTTGCTGTTTACGCGCTATCATGGATCTACGTTGTTGTTGTATCTGGGATTTATGTTGTAGTAGTGTATGCACGGAACAAATATTCGGCGAAAGAGCATATCTATTACCGGCTTGTCCAGTTCCTTGTCATAATTCTTGCAATACTCGTGATAGTTGCTTTGCTGGAATTCACGGATTTCAATTTTGTGGATATTTTTACTAGCCTGTTGGCATTCCTTCCCACGGGATGGGGCCTGATATTGATTGCCCAAGTTTTCAGATCACACTTGCAATCTTCTATCATTTGGAGTGGTGTTGTTGCAGTGGCTCGTCTGTATGATATATTGTTTGGAGTCCTTGTTATGGCCCCTGTGGCATTACTATCATGGTTGCCTGGGTTTCAAAATATGCAAACTAGAATTCTTTTCAATGAAGCATTCAGCAGGGGTCTCCGCATATCCCAGATTGTTACTGGGAAAAAGCCTCAAAGTTGACTGACACAAGGTAATTTCCGTTCATTTCTTTATTTTATTTTAATGTTTAGACCACATTTTTGGCATAATTGTTCTTGTTTTTCAAAGAGGTAGGCACCTGTGTTGCATAGGTATGGGTATGTACCTAGTATGGATACTAGTACGGAATACGGCATTTTTAGAAAAACTAAGGTACGGGTATGTTAGTATTTTAAAAAAAAAAATACAATTATAAAAATAACAAAGGAATTATATTGTTTAAATAACAACAAAACATTAAAATTAAAAAATAATTTACTTAAAAATAGTTAATATTTGTGCAATAACATTAATAAATCACAATTAAAAAGTATCAATAAATCATCCTAAAATCATGGTTGAATATCACTATTTTCCTCTCCAATATTATTAAAAAGAGCGGCTTCTAGTTCTGGTTCATCGAGAGAAAGACTAGGAACTTCAAGAATATCAACTCCATCAAATAGATCTCATTCATCTCCACCAATATCCCACATTTTGGTTGCTATTTTATTATAAACCTTACACTTTCTCATGAGAAGACGGAGATTTGTATAAACAAAAACTAGGTTGAAAGTTCCAGTTTGCAGAGAGATAAGTGAGACAATAACGACAAAGAGGCAGAGAAGAGAAGGATTAAGATTTGGTTTTTCTTTCACTTTTTAATTTATAAATAGAATAATTAACCTAATTTTTACTCAATAAAAGAAGCCCAAATTATACCATCCGAAAAAAATTTAAAAAAGTTGGGTACGTAGTACTGAATGTGTACCGGTTGGTGTACCAACTTTAAAAATAAAATAAAAATTGATACGGCTTTGATGCGTACCGGTACCGGTACTTTACCTAAAATGTAGTACCCGTGCTTTATAGGTAGGCACTGTTTGAAAGACAAGTTAACAAGACAATCCTACTATTGAGCTGATAAAATTGATTTTTTTTTTCCCGTACATTGTGTCACTCCTTGATTGTGTCTTGCAGTTAAGGAATTGTTTATTTTAAAAACCTCAGCCTCTATGTTATTAAGAAGACAAGGAAATTTCTCATCACACGTTTGTAACAATTAATTCTTGGATGAGGACAGTTCTTATAGGCACACAATCAGCTGAGAACGTAAGATATTTAAAATAACTTAAGTGGGACTTTGTTGTATTTTTTATTATCATTTTCATATTCTTTTATTGGCTGTACTGAATAGACATTGTGTTTGTGCAATAGTTACTTAGTGATTTGAATGCTCGCTCAGTATAATACCTTTTTCTCCAATGCTAAATGAAGTGCAGCCAATGACTACAATTCACATTGTTATGACATGAACCCTTGTTAGCACCTGTTTTTTTGTTTATTCTGTTGTGTTGGTATTCAGCTGGCCAGTTACTGATTATGTTAACTGCTGTGCTTCCTGATCCCCCGAAATGGCATCATGCTTTAAAATTGAAATAGAATGCATTTTATAAGTTGTGTTCACATTCTTGGAAGTTTTTACCTTGGCATAACTGAACATCAATTATTTTCATATCGAGGGAAACATTTCTGGATCAGCCTAAAATCTCTAGGCAATGATTCCTTTCTAGACTAATGGCAATGAATCAGGGAATTGATTCTGTGCCAACGAGGGTCAATTATAATGTTCATTTCTTATGATTTAAATATACTTCCCATAAATTTTTTATTAAAACTTTATCTCAGGTAATTTCAAGATATATGATAGAATTGAAGACCTTTTATATTTATGTATTAATGTAAATAAGTTGTTGATATTTATAAATCAACAAATTTTTCAAAAAAAACAGACCTTTTATATTTTACTTTCCATAAATGTTTTATTAAAAACTTTATCTCAAGTAATCTCAAGATATATGCCAGAATCGAAGACCTTTTATATTTGACTTTTTAGTCAAGTTCCAGTAGGACTATAGAAATTTATGTTGTTATTGCAGTACTACACAGTATATACTCATTTTTATTAATTTTAAATCAGGACTTGTGCAAACAAGGGTCAATTATAATGTTTATTTTCTATGATTTAAATATGCTTCCCATAATTTCTTTTGATTTAATCTTTATCTCAAGTAATTTCAAGATATTTATGATAGAATCAAAGACCTTTTATATTTTTCTTCTCAGTCAAGTTCCACTGGGCCTATAAAAGTTTATGTTACTTGTAATTGCCGGTGCTATACAGTACATGCTCTTTTTTATTAATTACAAACCAGGACTTGAGTGGGGACGTGTTTGGTTCTGTTCATGAACTGGTTATTGCTTGATTTTGGTTGGCTTTTATCGTATGATCAACTCCAATTTGTTTTAGATTGGCTTATTCCTGTGCTGGCTGCTGCATTTTAGCATCTGTTTTATTCCATTTTTCTTTTTTTGGTGAAATTTTTTAGTTTTGTTTGGCCTATTTCAACCTTTTCACGTTCTTGATATGTTTGTTTTTTATGGTTGTTTGGGCCTCCTGAACTCAAATTGGAGGGCTTTGTTTAATTATTTATTTGCTGTCTTAAGCTTCCAATTTGATTTTTATAATGAATTTGGAAAAGTATGTGCCTTTTGTATACAAATGAATACATCACAAGATGTCTTATTTTGTTGTGATGTTTTTCCTGTAGGGTTGGAATCAATGGAGTGCGTTTTACATCACGTGTTTTATGGAGCTAGACTTGAGACATCTGTATATGGTAATGTTTCTTGTTTTTATATACAAACACAATAACAAAAGTTACAAAAAGCCTTTCCCTTTAATTTTGATTAGTTACATGAAACAAATGATGTTGAGTAACACCACCGCCAATCCCAATCCTTCTTGATTGTTTTGGATTACAGTTCCTCGTTTAATTGTATTGAACTATATTTTGTAAATCCAAGTTCTTTTATCTTTAACTATTGAACGACTTCGTATTTAGTCCACCCCCATCATGGTAGTCCACCCTCCTTGTTTATCTTCTATATGTATCCTATATTTGAGTGGGTATGAACCATGCTGCATTTTCAAAATCCGATGGGCACCACTTCAGTACATAAATAATGCGATTAACTTCCAATCTTGTTAACATTTAAAAATTAAAATGAAGGCTTAAACTCGTCTAACATATAGTTGTTGTAGTAATTTATATTCATAATTTGTTGATTTCTGTTCGGGCTCCTAGGGAAATCTTGTTAATAAAACTATGGCAAAGCCCATAACATAACTATTGGTGTGATGTTCTTGAAGTAACAATGACCTTGGTACCATTTTTTCTCTCGGTGAAGCCCATAACATAACTATTGGTGTGATGTTCTCAGTGATCCTCTAATATACTAGTTATACTGATTCTTGGCTATCATTTGGCTATGCCCCGTGTATTCCTGTATTCCATCCGTTTCGTTGTTTCAGATTTGTTCGAATATATTTGTCTGAAGGTGTTTCTTGTAGATAATTGTTTTTTATTGTTTGAATTTTCTGGCAGTTGTAGCTAATAGGCATGAATTATGTTTGCAGGATTGGCATTGGAAATATATGCAAGGAGGGACTATAAAATACTCGAGGCTAAGACTTGCTTTGCGTTCCCCAATTTTCCTCTGGTCTTGGTTGTGATTATATTTTGTCTTTATTTTGTGGAGGTGGAGATTATTATTTTCTGCTTTTCTTTGTTGGCCTTTTGTAATTAGTCAATTATGATGTTTAAAATTGATTTTGGTAGCTGGTAGGTGATATTCTTATATGTATGTTATGTTGCATTCCTGGCGGGGAAACGGCAACTTATTTTATAGAATGGTAGTAACATGATTCAGATTTTTTCAATCATTTATCCATAGCCAGAGGTTTTCCACAAAAAAAAAAAAAATGATAGACTCGATTGCTAGATTTTCTGGCAGTATTGCTGATTCTCTTGTTGATGACTAGGTTAACTGGAAAACATTAAATTAGTTTAAAATCTCACAAGATGAAATTTGGAGTATGATATGGTTAAATTAAACCCGTAAGAGTAGCTATTTTTTTATATATATAATGCGTGCAACTTGAATTCTTGTCATGTACAGTAATGAAAGTATACATATAGAACGTATAACTTGCATTTTATTTTAAATACAATTGTATGTCAAAATAGGACTTTTTTAGTTTGATGGTAATTGTAAATATAAATATATCAATACATAATAAAGTTAATTTGGTAAAATGATTATTTTTAAAATTTAATTAATAATAAATATCCTACAGTTAAAAAACCAAGCTATACATTACCAATTAAAGAATAGACATAGGTTTCATTTAGTTATAACTAAGTCATTTTCACGCAAGTCATGTGCTGCACTACCACATTCCACTGTTAGATGTAAACCTAAAAATACCTTACGAACAAAATGATTATAATCAATTAATATTATTGTTAGAAGTATGCATTAGTATATTACTGTTAGAAGTATGCATTAGTTTTTGGATTTCTTCTGAGTGATTTTCCATGTTTGTAATGCTCAATTTTCTGTAAGATATTAAGGATAATCATTTGAAATCTTGTGCATATGTACAATGTACATAAACATATATAAAGTGTATAATGCACGTTTATTATACTTTCTACCTAAATTTGACTTGCGTTACACAAAAATATTCGTGTCAATTAATGAAAAACATTTAAACTTATTCAATAAGCTTTAGAAATACTCACATGGAGCCAATGTCATAGGGCAAACACAACCCACTACATCAAATAACTAAAACATAAATATTTATAATAGACTAATAATCTTAATTAGAAATCAAGTTAAAATTTGAATTAAACTCAAAAGCAAGCTATCTCAACTATATCACTAATCAATGAGAATGATTTTGATAATTCTCTATGTACAGCCAGTGGAGGTAAAATTGAATTTAAGAATGTCATTATATATAACTTTCAAAAACATTTTCTTCTCATCTCAAATGACTTGTTATAGATTTTGTATATCTGGATTACAAACTTTTAAATAGATGATCTAATCTATGCCAAAACACTATATACCCCACTATGCATCCAAATCCAGCATTTGATTATAAAAATAAAATATATATTGCACAAAACCAACTATAAAAGAATTCATTTCCTTTAGATTTGTGATTTCCATAATTTCACTAACACACTTGTTTGAAACTTGGGTTCTGATGAGTCAATCCCTTGTTCACATGAGCTAATCTGCATGAATGTTGAATAAATAATGAATAGGTTGATGGCCTTTCCCACGGTACCATTCCGAAATCATCAATCAAATCTGACATTCCGCTGACTAAGAACTGCCAAACCAAAGCACCTGCTCCGGACTGGTTTCTCCTAGCAGATTTGTGGGATATGTCTAATATTGTTTTGTACATCCTTTCTCGGTCAGCCAGTGAAAAGTTCTTGATTGTGTCTGATAATCCATATTCAGAAAACAAAACAGGTTTCTTCAATACATTATCACCGTCTTCAATGTGAGAAAGCATCCACTTGGTGAGAAATTTCATATAGACTTCAAAATTTTGCTTATGAAACCTACACAAGTTTTTGACGAAAGATGAATCAACAAAAATGTCAAATTACAAAATAAACATCTATCTTAGATCATCATAAATAAGAAAGTTTTAGAATGTATACTTCTAAATACAAATCAGAAGAAAGATCTTAAAGGCATGACTAAATTTTTTTCCAGACATCATTATTGAAGTAGAAACAACCAACAATCGAGATTAAAGACGTGTATGGTGTCTGACACCGACACGATGATGACACATGGTTATGTTTAATAGTTCCATTTTTTCACATTATTACATGTGTCAATGTGTCCGTGTTCCATCCCATGTCCACGTCAGAGCTTCAAACGTTTAATTACGAATCTGATAAAATCCAAAAAAAAAATGCATAGAGAATTCAAACAATGCTTGCTTACCAATGGTCAGGATAGATATGGACAGAAGTGAAGTCAATATTTGAAGTTTGAGAGTTCCTAATAAAATCAGATCCAAGTCTGGACGCCCATCCCTCCGGTGGGTTGACAGTCAACCTTTTCGGGTCATTAGGACCATAAAAACCTTCAAGCCCAATAGTCACCAGATGTTTCTTGTCGATCAATTTGACAAAAGTTGACATCTCCTCTATCCACTCCTGCAGTTCTATGGCAATTAAGTAAATTGTATACTCAAAGAAATCAAAGAAAGAATGGTCAAGCTCTGTAGCACCGACACCTTTGAAAAAAGGCTCGCCTGTGTCACACTGACACGACACTGACACCTGTGATTACATTCAATTTATTCATTTTTTTAAAAATTATTACCGGTGTCGACATGTCAGTGTTAATGTTGTGTCTGCATCCGTGCTTAATAGGTCAAGTATTCATTTCAACTTTCAATTAGTCATCGATAGCTAGTGTACTTTTTCTATCTATAAATAAACATTTGAAGGAATGAAAGCATAGGCACAAGACTTACTTGGAGAGTGTCGCCAGAAGGATCAGTTAAACACCGAGGTTCATTAATCAATTCCCAACCAAAAATGATAGGATCATGTCTATATTCAATTCCAGTAATAGTATTCTTTCTTGTAAGAATAGCCTGTATACAAGTTGAGAAGAAAAAGAAACAATTAATTTTTCTCACGCCCATACTCGAAACAAAAAACACAGAATTGACAAGAGTGTAGAAAGGATCAACGTAAACGCTGTGACAAAATTCAAGGGAAAGCAAAAAAAAGGATGAACATAACATACCTTGACATAAGTTTTGAAATAACTTTTTATTGATGGATCATAGAAGAACGAATCATTAGATGAACTTAACCCTACTCCTTCTTGCCATGCCCACTTCACATATTGATCCTTCCCACCATATGCTTGCAAGTTATTTACTAAGCTAAGAAGTAGCCTAATTCGATGTCTCCTGGCTTCCGCTATGACATAGTCCAAGGCCTGTCAAAAGGTTTTCATTCATCAAACAATTAACTCCAAATGCACAACTAATTTACTTCATGAACCCAAATAGCCAATATGCGCCTTTTTTTCCCTCCATTTTTATCCGGCATGAGAAAGAACAGAAATAATCATAAACTTCTAAAGCATGTCAATCACAAACCTACTTCAATAAGAAATGCAAAGGCCCCAAAATTCAGCTCTACATTGGCGTAGTTTTGGAAGCATTCAATCATATCATAGAAAGTTAAAAACACAATTTCAGGCAAAATCAAACCAGCCAACATCATAGACAGATAGTAAACTCTAAACTATGTCCCTATTGAAATCAAACATAGAAAAACAAAAACAAAAACAAAAAACCAATGATACCACGTACCAATACAAAAACAAAAGATGAAATTCAACATGAAAATACATAAGTTATTAACATACCCTGAAAGCTTCTTCATTAAAAACACCAGGTGAAGTCTGAAGGGCATTATAGTCACCATCATTAAAAGCCCAAGTTCTACAAACAGTTAAACCCATTTTAGCCCCAGCACTCATCATTTCACGTACCCTAGGTCTAGTATAATGATCCACCGATTGAACCATAAACCAATAAGAGTTCCACCCATTAATGTAAAAAGCTTTCCCATCCAACACAAACTGAGAACCCTTTCTCTCCACAAAACTCAATTCAACATCTTCCTCAAAACCCATCTTTACATCCCCAAATGACATGTAAATCAAAAGCACAACCGACGCAAAACCAAATAACGGATAAAATAAACCATTTCCAGCCATCATTTACCTGAAAACCCTAATCACACAGTTTACAACAAAAATCACAGAAATTTAACAGAATTAGGAGATTCTCAGATACCCTTTTGGCTCCTTATTAAAGGGGTTACTGTGATTTCAGCTCCAGATGAAGATTTCTGAATCCACTATTTTCAGTTCTGATGTGAATGTGGAATGATCAGAATGCATAGATCTCTCTATCTTTGAGAAGATTCTTAATGAGATTAACTATGAGAAGTGATTAAAGAGTGCAATTTTGAATGAGTTTATACAGAAAAAAAAAAATGAAAACTATGATACTGGGAAATTATTATTAGGTTGAAGAGGAAAATGACTAGTGTTGGTAAACTGTTTGTATCAGATTATTAATAATAATTAATAACTAACAATAATTAATAACTACTAATAAATATTAATTAATTAATTAATTATTATTATTACTAGCCTCCAATGGACACGTGTCTCTCTGTTCCGTTTTTTTAACGTATATAAAAATATAAATAGTATTTTTTTGTTAAAATAAAATTTTTAAAATAAATATATAGAAGTAAATAATAATAAATTATTAAATAAATTATACAATAAAAAAAATAGTAAAAAAATAAATTATACCAAAACAAAATATTTTTTTTACATATTATATAAATTATAATAATAATAATTATTATTATGTTACTTGGATTTAGATCTGGGTGAGAAGTGGAAAACTTTTAGAGTTGTAATAATTTAAGGAAATTTGAAAGACAATTTGAAGAAGTGTGGGGCATGTTGCTGTATAATATAAGTGTTTACCATGTTCTGCAAAATTATTTAAATAAAATGTCTATGATACACTATATTTATATGTGCTGACTTGATATGATAGTTAGGGAGAGATATTAAATTTAAGATATTCATTGATATTTTATTTTATACTATTAATCAATTATTTTTATATATTTTGTTATATCATATTTTAAGTTTTAAATTAATATTATGATAGAGTAGATTGACTAATTCTTATTAGATAAAACTGTCAAATTATTTTACACTATGGGTTTATATTAATTAAATTCTTTTATTTATTTATTTTAAAATTAAAGTTTATTATTAGATTATTTAAAAAATTGCTACTGAAAAATAGTATAATATTTTAATATTTATTTTATATAAAAATATTTTGTTATTTAGACCGACATTGTTTATTTGCATATATTAGCATCTTTCACATGGAAAGTATTCATGCTAGACAAAAATGCACAACAACCATTTTTTGTTTTTTTGTAATTTATTGTTATTTTATTTGCCTACGGATAGTAATACCATAATTAGTAGGGATGCAATTTGATTATGATTTTAATTAATATAATATAGACGTTTCAACGAGAGGATAATTGATGCATGATTTAGAGGATTTGTTTGTCATTTTATAATAAATTCTTTTTTTTTTCTATTGCATAATTCGTTGTATACAAATTGGGTATTGTGTCCACCATAGATATATCTTTTTAAAGGTCCACAACATACATTTTTCTAAAATGTTATTGTAAATAAAAAATCATGAAATGATAAGACTATCTTTCAATTTAATAAAAAGTCTATTAAAGTAAGTATTGCACTTTTACTTAACTTAAATGAGTGTAAAGGTGATAAAACGTGTTTGTCCTATTAGATATTTTCGTTTTATCTGCATTTAAGTGTTGAGCGGCTTAAGAATTTAGACCCTTATATTATAATATAACTGTTTTGTCCCGTCCTATTTTTTTCGTTTGATTTTGCAAGTGCGAATATTTATATAAATTTTTGTGTTTTTAAACTTAAAAGGTACAGTATTTATGGGTTTTTTCAGTTTCACCCTCACTTTTTGCAGGACAGATCTAAGTTTTAGGCTTGTATCCTCAAGTAGGCCCGCCCCACCCACCTCGTTTTTTTGGGAGCTTTTGCATAGCGAACTTAAACGAGATAGACATGCTTGTTTTCCACTCTTATGTATGTGATGTCTCTTACACTTCACCTTATGAGATACGCACTATATATTCATTCAAAATTTTAAATCGATAAATATGTGAGTTTTCTCATTTATAAAATATTTAATCTCTATTTTTTTAATTAATACGAAAATTTTCCACACTTATTTTTCAACAGTTCTAATTTATATTTTGTTCTCAATAAAATAGACCATTAAAATAATCTAAAACAAATAAGATACTAATTAAAAAAATGACAATTAATAAGGTGAAAAAATACGTGAATTAAAAAACTTTAGACTATTCTAAATAAATTTTTTTACATTCGTATAGTAAATAAAAAAAATTATAATATTAAGTTCAACTTAAAATATTAATATTATTAAATTTTTTGAAGTCTTAAAGTTTTAGGTAGACACTTGATGTAAAAGTCTCTTGAATTTTAAATGTTAGAGTTATGCTTTAAATTTTTTGGTGAATATGTGGTGTCAAGGTTTCTTGAAATTTAAACGTTTAGTTCATTAACACTTTCTACTTCCCGAATTATTCAACAAGTGGTATCAGAGTCATGGTTAGACTCGAAGGAGCGGATGTGGGATTTTAATATGGATCAAGACTAATGATGTAGGCGACTCACACTTGTGGGGGAGATTGTTGGGATTTAAGCGTGACTGGTTAAGTCTGACATCGATTAGAAATGAAGGAAATGTTGAGTATATATGAGAGGTGATTCGTATCTCAATGGCCTTACAGTTTTAAGTTCATATGTAGTGTCAAAGTCTCTTGAATCCTGAAAGTTTAGCTCATTGGCACTTTCGACGCTCCATGGACTCCCTAACACATCTGATCACTTTGTAAATCAATCCAAGGTTTAGTATTAATTGATTCAAGTGAATCAAATTAGCCTGAATCGATTCAATCTACATTGAATTCATGTTTTCTTATAACAAGACCATTTGAATAAAATAAAAAAAAATGCACGTGAATCAATTTAATCTTTAATGAAATTGATTCATTATTCATTTAAATCGAATTAAGTTTTTTAAAATATATATTTGGGTTGATCAATTGATTTGAATCATTCACTTATGTGAATTAACATAATTGGCCGTTTCATTGTTTTAACATGTTTTTTTGTCCCACTTGGAACAAATGTATAAGTCTTTAAGGCTGATTATTATTTAAAGAGTAAACTTTAGTTTTTTATTAATATAATTAAGATTATACATAAACAACGGGCAAACGAAAAACAAGTTGCGCCGCTATCCTTTTTGAATGACAGAATCATTCCTCTTAAAAACTACATTCACTGTCCTAGGTGACACAATATTGTTATGCATGAACCTTTGCACTCTTTATAAAGAATTACTTTCTGTTATTTGAACAATCTCTAAGCACTTTCTTATTTTCTCATGTAAGAGTATTCCAAGGTTTGAAGGATTTACTAGGATTATGTAACAGTCTAATAGTTTAATTGTTTAATGCGAATGAGTTTAAGAGGATTTCAATTTCCAAAGAAAACGAAGTATATCCTTCTTTAAGGGTGTGCAAGGCGAGCTACCGCACATGACTTAAAAATTTTCACGGTTAAATTATGGATAAATATATTTTTATAAAATATTGTCACAGTTAAATTACACTTACATAGGGTCTTTATTTATTTTCTTGTGGTTAAACTGCGGATAACCTATACAGAGCCTCCAAAAACTTGAGATAACTCTAAAAAGAAGAAAAAGTTCATCTCTTCTTAAGCGTGGAGAATTCCTTTAAAGATATTTTTGAAGGATTTCGAAGGAGCTTAATCAAGAACAAGTACACAAATAAAATGTTAGATGGTTGATTAAAAGTTGGAGAAAATAAGGAAAATTTCAAGATATGAGAGATCTTTGTGATCTATAGCCTTTAAGTTCAAGATTAGTTGAAGATGTGATCTTAGAGAAATTGGTAGTTGTTTGGCAGTAGACTGACAATGGTTTTACTTTTGTAATTAAAGCTCTTATATAATCTATTAAATAAATAGTAGAAGAAAATTTAGATGACTTCACCATTAAAATTGAACTATTCCCCATTTAAGGACGAAGATGTTAAACTAGTATGAATTTAGGTGTCATCTCTCTATGTCTCTCAATTTACTTTAAGTTTAATTTCATGTTTGTTAAATATATTTTTTATAATGAGTTAATGTTAAAAGCTTAGATTTGATTATAAGATTATTGCCTATTCAATTTGTTAGCTTATACTCCATACATTTTATAATGGCATTCTCTATTATACAAGAGTGACATTAGACGTTGTTGCAGAGGGGCCTTAATGAATAAAAATTATGACAAGGCATATACCTTTATCAAGGACATGGCGTAGAACCACTATCAGTGGGGAAGAGAACTTTCTCGTATAGATAATGCCTACCAAAAGGAGTATTATATGAAGTAAGTTATATTAACCGCATTAACGCTAAGGTAGATGCTCTATTTCAAAAATTTGATAATCTAAATGTTAATATTGTAGCCTGTTCCACTCCCACATGAAAAATATATGGAGTAGCCGACCAAATTAGTATTACATGCCAAATGATGCCTGCAAGTAATCCCATCCAAGACATGGAAAATTTTGTAAACATTGTCCAATGGGGAAGACCTTACTCGAACACCTACACATACAACCTTAATTGGAGAGACCACCCTAACTTTACATATAAAAATAACCCTCCCTAGTTCGAAAGCCAATAATGTACCTGTAACCTCGACAGGTTTCCAAGGACAAAAAGGTGCCATTGCCCCCAGAAGTCCAACCTTAAGATGCTGATAGAAAACTTTGTTATGACTTAAACCACTAGGATGGGGATTTTAAGAACCAAAACCTTCACACCAATGAGGTGCTTAGACAACTCGCTTCTAAATTTGAATGTGACACCCTAATCCCCCAAAAAAATTATTTTTATAGAACATGTTGTCGCACCTCGAAAAATCATGGAGACATTTCGGAGAAATGACCCTCACGCTAAAGGCGCGGAATGCGGTTCGTCAGAGTCGCCACTGAACTTTATTTATCCCGAATAAA